GCCGAGCAGGGAGCCCGATGCGGGGCTCGATCCCAGGACCCTGGGATCATGACCCAAGCCGAAGGCAGTTGCTTAACCAACTGAGCCACCCAGGCGCCCCCACCCGTGTTCTTTCACTTTTCAGTCATGTCAGCCCTTTCTGGTTGCCAGTCCACAGTGGTGGCTTCTCAGAATCCATGGACAGTACACAGGTCCACTTTTCTACTCCACTGCCCCACAAGCCACTGGTGTCCACGGTGTCATGATACTCAAGGGAAAGCTTACACACGTTTTTACAGGAATGTAAAACTCAAGGTTTTCTCTTAAGGGACATCTAGGATGTTTTCACTTCAACTAGGGAATGTTTCACAAGGTGACAAAGACACTACCCCACTGACAGAACTGTACTTTTCCATCTTCCACACCGCACACTATTTGCTACATGGGCTGCAAACGTACATCTGTCCGCTCTCCAAGTTCAGTCGTTTGCCTTGTTCTTACCATTGAGCTGTCTCAACGACGCTGCGCGAGTAGACCACAGAAGCTCACGTTGTCAGAGCTGGCCCGACGCCCTGTGGCGAGCACCGGCACTGGAACCCTGGGGCCTCTCCTCCCCAGACTGGGGGGCATGCACACCGTTCCTCCCTTCTGCCAGCTTCCTGGGGGCTCTGCAGCTACTTCCTTCCACCAACCCCGGCTGCCTTGGGCGCCAACTGCTTTCTTCCGCAACTCTTGTTTTTTCAAGATTTCTCATCTTTGTTTAGGTAACACCAGCCAATCAAAAGCCCTTTTACTTCCTAAAAACAAGAGTGTCAGACCTGCAGCTACCTTTTGCTGCTTGTTGAAGAGCTTTTCCCATCAGTTTGTTGTAGTCTCTTTGGAGGCCGGAGCTATTGCCAGGTTTTGTTCCTCCTTAGTGGTCACATTTCAGTACTGTGCTTGGTGAGCTAGCCCCTATTCACTGGATCCCCTTGAGTCAACGGTGTTAAACTGGATTACTCTCCTTTCCCACCAGCCTGTCTTTACACACATGAAGATCTGTTCCCTTGACCATTTTTTGCTTCCCAGCTCTAGACCTCTTGAATATTTAGCTGAAAAAAAGGTTACTGCAAAGCTGCTTATAAGTTTTTTTACAAACCAGCAAAGTATTAGTTAAATCTATACAGGAATCAAAATTACACATTAGGTAAATACCTACACACATACATATGTATTATGGGCTGAATTGTGTCCCCCCCAAAATCCATTATGTTGCAGCCCTAGCCCCCAGTCCCTCAGAATGTGACTGTATTTGGAGACAGGGCCTTTAAAGAGGTGATTAAGTCAAAACGAGCCCACTAGGGTGGGCCCTAATCCAATCTGACTGGTGTCCTTATGAGAGGAAGAAATTTGGACGCAGAGACATGGTGGCATGGTGGGGGGGTGGTGCTGCACACAGAGGAAAGGTCATCTGCAAGTCACAGAGAGACCTTAGGAGAAACTAAACCTACCAACACCTTGATCTTGGACATACAGCCCCAGAACTGTGAGAAAAATTCCCACTGTTTAAGCCACCCAGTCTGCATTTTGTTGTGGCAGCCCTAGCAAACTAATATGCTTCCCTTACATACTAAATATCTAGCTTGATACCCAAGAAACTGACACATGCTGCCTCCACGGACAGGAACTGGGTGGCAAGGGTATAGATATCTGTCTCTTAAGTCTTATGATTTTGAAACGTGACTCATCTATTTAAAAAATGAACAAAAAATTTACTAATACCCACTGTTGAACAAGGTGTGGGAAACTGGCACTTTCAGATATTGCTGCTCAATGTGTCACTAGAAAACGGTTTGAATAAATTGGTAAACATCCGTACAGCTGATAAATGAGGTAGATATACTATAATGGAAGTATGTCCACATATATTAAGAGGAAACAACAAGTCACAAAACAATGGGGACACTTTTGAGGAAAAAAAAAAAGCAAATCCCCTAGAGAAAAAAGGAAGACTATGTAATATACACCAATTTGTTAATGGATTCCTATTTTGTTTTTTTGATGGAGGATTACAGTTTTGGGAAGGAGGACTGATAATAAATAATAAAAACAAAAACTGTGTCTAACCTGAGAATATGAAGAGATTTAATTTCCCCAAATTCAAAGTGTTAAAATGTTTCTCATATAGCCAAATGGTCTGTTCTGTTAGACTTTCCAAAAGCTTAGTTTACTGAATGATACTGCTATTCTTTTTCAGCGGCTCCCAATGAGCAGGGCACGATAACCCTGCCCCAGCATGTTCTGGTAACCCACAGTGGGTTGGTTTGCCTCTGTAGGACGGGATAGGCACACACGGCAGAGCATATGAACTTTACCCGCGAAAGACTACAATTCGCTTTATCAAATCTCCTTGAGAGCAAATCACTAAACAGCGTTCAATGACAAAGAAGGCATTACACATGTGACCGAACAAAGATGTCATTTACCCTCACACAAAGTACAATCCTTAGTATTTCCTCCGAGAGTGATAAAGTTGGCTTCTGTTTTGCGGGTGGGGGCACACAGGTGAGTGATTACTAGTGAGAGCAATGCTGATACGGAGAATGAAAATGTGAACACTTAAATAATTTTAAAGAGAATGAAGAAGTAATCAAATAACTGCAACGCAAATGCATTAGGTTTTAATCTTTATTATTTAACATTATTGCTTTAGGGAATTTTTTCCCCCTCAACCAGGAACTGAATGCTAATTACATAAAAATATACACATATAAAAAGTAGTTCTCCATTTTCCCAGGAAAAACAAACAATAACTTTGAGAATATTCAAGTGTTTTGTTTTAATAATTAAAGTACTGATCATCTCATTTATTAGCTCTGTAACGTACATATTTAAATTAAATGTTATTAGACAACCATTACAATTTATAAATGTAAGGTGCCACTACTGAGTAAATTGATTCTTCCATGAGTGGATGTGTCCCTTCTCCCACCCACTAACAAAGCAGCAATATGGTTAATTTTATGAGTCGATGGTCCATTGCTGCAAATGCTAATTCTCTTCTCCACCGTGTTTTGTTTCTGTGAATGTGTGTGAGTTGGTTAGATCGCACAGGCAACCTCTCTGACGATCAACAGCAAGATGAGCTAGGCTTGGGCTTTCGGTGCAGACTGACCGTGTCTGTCTGAATCAGGTGATCCGACCTATCCTCAGTAGCCAGCACTCTTCGAACTGCTTCCTCAAAGGCCGCTGTGACATTTGTGGCATCTTTTGCACTTGTTTCAAAGTAAGGGTAGTCGCCGTTGTCCCTGCACCAGGCTTGGGCTTCTTCTGTAGACACCTGACGTTCACTTATGTCAATCTTGTTGCCCAAAATCACAAAAGGAAAACTTTCGGGCTCTTTCACATCTGCATAATATATGAATTCTTTCTTCCAGTTACTCAAGTTCTGGAAGCTCTGAGAAT